TCTCCTGAAAAGATATTTTATCAACAGTGGAGTTTCTTCCCTCCTTGTGATCCATGAAGCAATCAGCCCTCCTCAAAAAGCATCGATGTTTTGTTTAAAAATAAACTACAGAGAATTAATTGTGGCTTCTTAAAAAAAAAAAAAGATATTTGTGGGCAGATCTGGCATGAGCCATTATACCTTAAGTCTGCTCTTGAGTTCATTTGCCCTGAAATGGCTCAGAGGGTCTTAGATTTCACTTGTTTAGTGTTAGAATAAGCTGTGGCTTTTCTTTCTTCCATTTTTCTAAATGAAACAATTAATTCCCAAGCTGTCAATTCTGTGAATATAATAATTATCTCAAAGTTACCATAAGTGGTATATTTATTGCCTCAATTTTAGTGTTTATATGTGTCCCAAATCTGGGACAATGGGACAAAATGGGTTAATACCTGCACCTGAATCTGAGGACAGCCCTTTAGCAACCCACAGGTGTGGCAATCCTTCCTGATCCTTCCCTGGTCCTTCCCTGCCAATGCAATCATATTGCCTTCTGAGCAGTGGATTGCCTATTGCTAGGCTTTCCTGCTCCTGGGGTTGAGCAAACAGGGCTTGAGCATTTTCCCTGACCATCTATTATACAATCGCACAGAGATTCAGATTCCCTGAGCTCAGCTTCTAGCTATAAGCTCTGCTTCTAGTGCTACAAGAAATAGGGCAATAATCCTGAACAGGCTCTGGGAGGATCAGGTGGAGGAGGAGAAATTAGACATAAAGACTCTGATGGGTGACAGGAGAGGAAAGAAGTGAGTGGACATAGGTGCGTTCAGGAAGGAAAAGCAGAGACGTTTCCCAGAAATCTATGAGAAAGACACAAGTAGAGTCTAAGGTCCAAGTGAACCAATGTTTGCCCTTGAAGGAAGCAAGCCATACACAAGATATCTGTCCGGCACAGTGAGCCCCTCTCAGACTTTGTCAAGGAAAGCAGTACCATCTCTGGCAACCTTAGGGTAGGGGTAACTCAGGAAGCAGGAAGCCTTTTTTGGAAGTTGTTAGAAAAAAAAATCTGAAAGAACAGCAGAGAGCACTCTGCGTGCGCCCCCGCCTTGGCAGTAGAGGTGACAAACGCATACCAAGCGATCCTGAAATAAATGTTCCTCTGTGTGCATTTGTTTGAGAACACCTTCCCCAGCTCACAGCATCTCCTCCCTCTCTCTCCCCAGGACCAGCTCTCAGAGCCCCGGTCCCCAGCCAACGGCGACTATCGAGACACGGGGATGGTCCTCGTGAACCCCTTCTGTCAAGAGACACTGTTCGTGGGAAACGATCAAGTGTCCGAGATCTAGCTGCAGCAGCCTTCACTCTGCCGTTCCCTATTTTTCATCTCTAAATGATAAATATACAAATATATATATATTATAAATATAACCTTTGTGTAACCCTGACTTAATGAGAAACATTTTCAGCTTTTTTTCCTAAGAATTGTCAACATCTTTTTTATAAGTGTGGTTTAAAAATCAGAAAAAAAAAAAAAACTTTACAGAATGACCCGTGGCTTTATAAAATAAAGGTATTTCTAAGCAAAGCAGTGGCATCAGTTGCTTCTCTTGATAACTGTCTCTGAGCCCTCGGGGAGTCGCAGGAGCCCGGGCAGGTGAGGGAAGAGACCGACCTCCTGGACAAGCAGAATGCTAAAGTGGTCAAGGGCATCGTCTGTTGCCCGATTCCTAAAGCTCTGGTTCCTTAGATTCGAGACCCGTCTCCTCCCTCCTCATGTGCACATGCGTGAAGGGGACTGGGCCACCCAGGAGGAGCACGAGGTACAGCATACTCAAACCAAAGCAGGAAAAGCGAAAATGTCTTCACCCTGGAGGACAGGAACCCTGGGGACTCTCGGTGACACCACTGGATGTCAAGTTCAATGCCACCCATGTCATAGGCGGAGGCAGGAGCCGACCACACTCAGGAGATCCGAGGAGGACATGGAAGCATCCTAAGGCGCCTGCCCTGTGATCACCCCGTGGGTGCTCCCGCCAGGCCAACCACAGGACCTCCCGTCCCTGGAAGCCCCACATCTGCATCCCACAATGTCGCCTCTTCTCTCAGGGAGGGTGTAGGCACAGGTCCCAACCCTGGAGCTTTAGAACCCTCGCCCTTCCTTAAGGATCAGATGTTCATTGGGGTTTTCTCCAAAAGTGATGATGGTGTTGTGTCCCAAGGAACAGGTCTAAGGGCTTGCCACTTTTGAAACCTTCCTCCTGCACTCCTAAAGCAAACCAGATTGCCAAAGCCAGCCACTTGGGAGAAGCCAGAAGCTGGTTCCGTCCACCCGCAGAGGTACTGCAGACCCTCTTGCCCCTTGGGCCCAAGGATCTGCTATGGGCTCTTCTTTTGCCCTCCTTTCTCTCTCCTGCTCCCTGCATCCCGCCAGGCTGCCTCCGGACTCCCACGGTGCCCAGAGACCAGCACCAGTGAGGCTCAGACTCTCAGCCACACAAGAGGGGCTTCCAGAGGTGGCCGCTCCTCTGATATTTTCCTAAGAGTGGCTAGAAGAGAAGAGAACTGCTTTGACGCTTCCTTTCTCTAAAAAAGAAAAATAGTTTGATAGTCTATTTTGAATATAGATGTTCTTATAGGCAGATTGGGAATTGAAATTGAATGTCGGTTCATCCGTTTGTGTTGTTACTTACTGTGGTCTTCTTACCATGACTTTCTCCTTCCCACCCACGTTGCCCTTTTTCAAAAAAAGCAAGATGGCCTTCGAAAATGTGTGTTCTCGATGTCTGTATGAACCTCCTCGACCCGAGTTGTGTGGTCTCTCAGCCCCCAAAGGAGCAGGTTAAATGTTGCCCTGAGATTTGTTTTTTCTGTTACTGTCTATGTTGTTCTCTGACCTTAACCTTCTCATGTTTCTTTAGCTATTGCATTGACTATATCAACGTGTGTGAGTACATAGAGTGAGAAATCTGTTTGTAAAGTAAAATTTATATATAATATATGTAATCAAGGATACATATGTTATATATACATTTGTGGATGTATGACTTATTTTTCCGTACCCACAGAATTCCGCTACCATGGATATATAAATAAACTTATTTTATTACCCAAAGGATTAAGTCACTAATATATTTTGCCTTCTTTTTCATCGGAAAATAACTTTCAAGTCTCGCTTATACGTGTCCATCTGTGTTTTTTAATCTGCTTGCACGTGAAGTTGGGTTTTGTGAGTATGATGAGATAATAGGATGAGCCGTGTGTCATTGGGTAAAGTGGGTCCTTTAGAACATGCTTGTGACTTTTCCAGAGGAGAATCCTCTCTCTTAGGGTCTCTGGGGTGGGTGGGTGGTGTCCATCTGGGTACCTTCCTTCCCCATTCTCCACTCTGTGGATTTATGGTAAATATCCTTGAGTCAGAAAGACCTGTAAATTAACCTGGCAACTGAGTGTTATCATTTGGTGCAATAACAGTGCCTGAACATGACACCTTTGCCAACATTTTAATGAGTAGCTTGATCCCTTCAGTTAGCCTGGTAGGTACATCCTGGAATTGATAGAGTACAGATCCTCGGGACCCAGCCAACATCACCTGTAGCAGGAGGATGTCATTGTGATACAGTCTCCAGTGCACCATGGGCCCTTCTTGTGCGCTGCAGGGATGCCACACCCAAATAAACCAGGGTCCTATAGGCCTTGACTTATCCAGAGGGCTCCTCCATCTGTTAATCAAATAGCAAACATTTGCATTTATAAAGTACCTTCCATGTCATCTCAAGTAGACAATGAGGAAGGGGGAAATGAAAGAAAGACAGAAGGAAAGGTTATGGTATCCTAATCACACAGAACGTTCTGGTAGGCAACCAGATTTCTTTTTAAGAGAGAGAGAGAGAGAGAGAGAGAGAATTCTTTAACATTTTTTTTTTTTTAGTTATTGGCGGACACAACATCTTTGTTTGTATGTGGCGCTGATGATCGAACCCGGGCCCTACGCATGCCAGGCGAGCGCACTACCGCTTGAGCCACATCCCCAGCCCTTTATTTATTTATTTTTTAATGTGGTGCTGAGGATCGAACCTAGCACCCACACATGCCAGGCCAAGCACATTACCGCTTGAGCCACATCCCCAGCACGCAACCAGATTTTTTTTTAACACCAGAGAAGGTCCTAAATAAGTTCCTGGAATAGGAGTCAGAAGAAGCCTTCTCAGCTTAGCTCTGCTACTTTCTGAACAAAGGACCTTAGTCGAGTCACTTCAGTTCTCAGGGTCCTTATCACATAGGGGGACAATAGCCAACTGTAGACAGGTGATCATGAGTTGTGCAGGACACAGCCCGAACAGCCACACATGTCAACTCATCTTCTAAGGTAGAATTAAGATTTCAGTGAAACAAAGATGGAATCAGGTATAGCACTGGAATGGAATTTGACTTCCTTCCTCTTGTCTCACCTGAGGCACATTTCCACACTTCATCAATATCCAGCTCTACGTTTGGGCCATCTGGTTTTTCCAGGGCAAAACTTCAGTGCAGTGATTTGTAAGTCCATTTTGTCATCCCTGGGGCTGGAGGCACCTTTCTGATCCTCTGGAAGGGACTGGGGTGTCAACCTTGACGGCATGACTTAGTGACCACTCAGGGTAGGAACTAGAACCCAGAGGATCCCACCAAATCCTAACCTGGAGCTTCCTCGGAGACCTTACCAGAAATCACTCTCTTGGTTGTTTTTATTTGTGAGTTTTCAGATAAATGGGGAAATGGCAGCGTGGGGGACAGACGGAGCAAGCAGGTGTCCAATACGTGGGATCTAAACTTGCTCAAGAGCCCATCAGAGGGGCTGGAATTGTGGCTCAGAGGTAGAGCGCTTGCCTAGCATGTGGGAGGCACTGGGTTGGATTCTCAGCACCACATATAAATAAATAAATAAAGATCCATTGACAACTAAAAAATATTAAAAAATAAAAAAGATCAGCGAGTCTGAGGAAGTGAAGTCCAGAAGGTCAAGCAGAAGGTCAAGTTCAGACTCTTGGAGGGCAGAGATGAGAATGAGGAGAGGGACCTGAATCAGGGAGGGACCTGAAACTGCTGCTCTGGAGCTGAGAAGCAGGGAAGAAGCAGCAGGCTGCCTCCTGTGGGGCTGGTTCCGGTCCACTCTCCACTTCAATCAACTGTCAGGTATTTGTGCATCTTCCCCCACACCAGCACATGTAGGAAGGTGGAAAGCATCAGAATTGGCTCTGAAACACCTATGTAGAGTCCTAGCTTGCAGCTGAAATCTGGGGAAAGTGATCTTTACACTTGTGATTAGAGGTCCCTGGGCATAAGTTTATAACCTGTGAAATGGGGTGGCTGGGGGGCCTACTTTGCCCTCTGTCCGGTTGTGAGATCAACAAGCCCCGACGAGCTGCCCCCACAGCCTGCACTGACCCAGCCTCCCCCAACACCAACAGAAAACTCTGGGAGGTTGGGCACCTGACTCCGCATCAGAGAACGCATGAGCGCCTTTCTGCACGCAGCCCTGGGCAGGGCCCATTGCTCTTTCAGCTCAGTGAATGGTGGAAGCTCATGGAAGGCAGCAGACAAAGAGCCCCCCCCCCCGGGGTAGGGGAGCTTCCAGAGAGGCCCATGACCAGGCCACAGGGCTGCTGGGGCTGGAACCCAAAAGCCACTGGACTCTAACCCTGCTGGGCGCCGCAGAGGCAGAGGAGGGATGAGTGAGAGGAGGGTGGTGGTGGACTCGCCCGCCGGCACCAGCTCCAACATGCCCCTCCAGAGGCGCAGGACATCTTTCAGGGGGACACGATCATCATCCTCCCTGGACAGCCCCCCAGCCTCCAGGACCAATGTCATGGGCAGCCTCATCCGCACCCCTGGGGTCTATGTAGGGACCACGCCCAGCGGGGGCATAGGTGGCCTGGGTGCCCGGGTGACCCGCCGGGCCCTGGGCATCAGCAGTGTGTTCCTGCAGGGCCTGCGGAGCTCAGGCCTGGCGGCGGTACCTGCTCCGGGCCTGGAGAGGGACCATGCTTCTGTGGAAGACCTAGGGGGCTGCCTGGTGGAGTACATGGCCAAGGTGCACGCCCTGGAGCAAGTCAGCCAGGAGATGGAGACGCAGCTGCGGATGCACCTGGAGAGCAAGGCCAAGCGTTCTGGGGGTTGGGGCGCCCTCCGGGCCTCCTGGGCCAGCAGCTGCCAGCAGGTGAGTACCAGGCCATGCCCAAGGGCTGGGCAGACAGCTCTCAGAAGGGGATGCTGAGGGCAAGGGGAAGGGTCGTGGGTGCTCTGAGGCCAGAAAAACTGCCCACAACACCCACACTTTCATATTAAAAACGCTAATGGTCACACGATGAGGACATTGGGCCCTCATTTACTGAGACTTAAAGGGGCAGGACCTGCTAGTTCCAGCTCATGCACTTCTTTCTGGAACATTCAAAGCCATGCTGTGTGTCGAATCACCATTGATTGCATTTTTTCAGATGGAAAAACTAAGGCATGGAATTTGGTCATAAGCTAATAGGGAGATGGAGCTGAGATTTGAAGCTGAAGATCCCCAGCTCCAAAGTTGCCTTTGTCCCATTACCCTGAGCTGCCGCTATTGAGAAAGGGCTTTTACAGTCTTCATCTGACTGAATACACTGAATGAATGGGTATTAAAAACTATGAATAAATGGACATGTCACCACTGGTGTGTGGCCGGGTAATGCTGAGCAGATGCCCACAGGGACTCTCCATCAGCCTCCTGCTCCTGCCCCATTTTGCTCTGCAATTGCACTGTCCAACAGAAATATGAACCACGTCAATAATTTATGTTTCTATTACCTACAGTAAAAGAAAGGAAAAAGGAACAGGTGAAGTTAATATTAGTATCATATCTGATTTAACTTAGTATATCCACAATGTTATTTCAATATGTAATCAATAGGAAAAATATTAATGAGATGGTGTGGATTCAAATAGAACCTTCTAGAGAAATGGAAATGTATCTGTATCATCCAATCAGCCAGCCACTAGCCATTTGTGGAGAGAGAGCACTGGATATGTGGCTAATGAGACTGAGGAATAGAAGTTTTTATTTTATTTCATTTTTGTGACTTTAAATAGCAACATGTGACTAGTGGTTATCTTACTGGATAAGGCAGGATGCGGAGGTTCCCGTCTCTTGCTTGGTGGCCCCGGCTTTCCTGCCCTCCAGGGTGATTTCTGCAGAGCATGGCGCTCATCCATCACGTCTGCCTGCAGCCTGAGGTTCTAATGCTGAACTTCTGCCAGCACTGCCTATCTCAGCTGGGCTCTCTGTGGGTGGCTGTCTTCTTTGTTCCTGTCCCTTCCCCAAGCGCTGGCCTTGGGATCCCTCTGAGCTAAATCAGTCTCTAATCCTGTGACAAACTGCTAACTCAGACACTTTGCCCCCTGGGGCATCATGCAGCCTCCCAAGAGGTCACAAACCATTGGTGTGTGGCCGGGTGATGCTGAGCAGATGCACACAGGGACTCTCCATCAGCCTCCCGCCCCCATCACATTTCACTCCACAATGCTGCTTCTTTGCTGTCACCAGCATCTGAAGGACAGCACAGTACACACGATATACAACATTGTCCTCTCAGGCTTCCCCGGGGCTGCTGTTCCACTCCCATCCACCTGGGCTGTGAGAGAGAGCCATCTTAGAACATTCTGGAGCCTTCTCTCTGTTGGGACAAAGAGGTAGCTATTCCTCCAGAGTGTCCACAATAGTCCTGATTCTAAATGTGATGCCCTAGCAGCCATTAGAACACCCAGATATTCCAGCGTGTCAGCATCTTCTGGACGAGCACATGTGGCCACACAGACATGCCCAGAGGAACCAGGCACTGCAATACCGAGGTTAGGATGTATGGCCACAAAACCTACTCACGCTGAATAGATGCCGACTTGCCTGGCTGAGGCCAGCTATAGAAAGAAGTTTTTGCAACTTACTCCACTGCTCTGGACCTCAATTCCCTCATCTGCAGAGTGGGTGTAATAATGCCTGAATAATCCAGCAAATCCATAGATAAGCAGACTAGAGACTGGAGAGCTGTAAAAGACCCTCGATGACAGAACAGCACAGAAGGACTGCAGGCCAAGACTTTCGACCTC